ACACCTACAGAAAAGAGCCATGACATAATTCATCAAAAGCCAATATTTACATTCAACCCATGATGCCTGTTACAAAACCCCCCTTAGGGTAAAGGATACAACACTTTAAGAAATGTGGGAAAAAGAGAACGCACCTTTACCCTTTATCCAGCGAGATCTGGTCAAGAGTTTGTAATCATTGCAGTATATCTTGATGATCTAAATATAATAGGAACTTTTGAACAACTACAAAAGGCAGTTGAATGTTTGAAGAGGGAATTTGAAATGAAGGATCTTGGAAAGACCAAATACTGCCTTGGACTACAAATTGATCATTTAAATGATGGTATCTGTGTGCATCGAACAGCCTATACAATGAAGGTGTTAAAAAGATTTTTAATACGTAAGTTTCATCCTTTGAGCATCCCAATGGTTGTAAAACAATTTGAAGTTGATAAGGATCCCTTTACACCGTGTGGAGATAATGAGGATTTTCTTGGTCCAGAAGTACCATACCTAAATGCAATAGGAGCTATTAGGATATATTTTATTGTGTTCAATTTAATTAGATTTATCTTTGTTTAATTAGGATTTAATTAGTGGGCTAAGTAATTAATTAAGGCCATTTAATTAGAGATCATTCGGCCCATCCTAATGTAACAAGGATGTTCGGCCATCCCTCTATAAATAGAAGGGGAATGGACCGAACATACTTGAGGGTTTCACAATTTGAATAGCCATATCATTCTCGAAGCTCTCACACTAGATCTCTAAGTCTCTACACATTCTGTTTCCGCATATTATTCTCTGTAGAGCCAGTAGAATAGAAATTCTCTCTCAAGCTTATTAGTTCGAGTACTGTGTAATTTTTCTTCATGGATTCATCATTCTATATACACGGTATACATTATTGGTGAAATTTCTCTTCTACTGTTTAAATTCTTTCTATTATTATTAGTATATTCGACTGTTGAAATATAGGTATAGTTCACACAGGAGCCCTAATCTATCTTGCAATTCAAGTGACACCAGACCCGATATATCCTTTGCTATAAATTTATTGGCAAGATACAGTTCTTCTCAAACACCAAAACAATGCAACGGGGTCAAAAAATTACTTTGTTACCTTTAGGGTACGAAAGACATGAGTTTATTACTCCCTCCATCCCGCTAAGATTGTCTCATTTTACCTTTTCGCGAAATCCAACTAAAATTGTCCCATACCAAATTTGGTAAAGTTTATGTGGTTCTAAGTTATTACTCCCTCCGTCCCCCTGTTATTGTCCCATTGCAGTTTACGATGTTTGACCGAGGATAAAGCAAACAGATCCCTGTCCGCATTCAAATTTTTTTTAGAAAAAGAAAATTACATATTCAGAAACTACATTAAAAGATTTACAAAGTCGCAAAAACCAGAATCAAATTTGATAAAAATTTGATACATAAAGTAATAGATTAAGAGTGATTGTGTTGACCAAGTGAATAGGAAATGGGACAATAACAGGGGGACGGAGGGAGTATTAGTTTATTCTTACTTTATCAATTTAATATCAACCACACAAACCAACTTTTCTTAATAATCGTGCCACCTTCTCTTGTCCCAATCTTAGTGGGACGGAGGTAATATTATCTAACGTGTCCAAAACAGAATTGATTGGGTTTGCAGATGCATGTTATGTTGAAGATTAATTTATTGTGTATCAAGTTTGTCAAGAGTCTTGTATTAGTATAGCCTTTATTGCTCCTTTATGTATTTATTGTTGTATTTATTAGAGTAATAAAGGGTATAGGGCCAAAGTGTCTGGCCCATATATCACGCTAAAAGCCTTTACGCAAACCTTAACATGTGCATATAAAAAGGCGCATAAGGGTTAGGTTTGCATCAACTTTGCATTTTGATCTTATTAGCCTTAGCGCTCATTCTTGTGCTATAAAGTTCACGGTATATCAAAGACGATTTTAAGGATCTCCAGCGTATATCTTTCTAGTACTCTATCTTTGATTATCTCCATACATATTGCTGTAATCATATAAACAGGGACAAACAATTGGTATCAGAGCCGATCGAGAACTGATCGGAAGAACAACGACGAAGACTTTGCTATTTTTCTTGTTTATCTGTAGTTTTCAAGTTTAGCTATTGTAATCTTGTTTTTGATCAAATACCTGTAAAAGTTATACTGTTAGATTCGCAATCTCTTAACGATCAAGCAGTATGCCTTAGATTCTGTTTTACGCAAAATTTCTTTTTTGAGGAACTCGACATTGAGAACTCGTGACTACAGGCTCTACGAGCTCTACTCAGATTTTTGATCTGAAATTTTCACAGGAGGAACTCGACATCCAGAAATACAGGAAACAGTTTTCAGATCTTGAAAACTCGAAACTTTCTATTTGCAGGAACTCGCATTTCAGGGTTTTGAACTCCTAAACTCGCAGTTAGACTCTCGAGTTTAAAACTCGCATTGTATAAACTCTCAGCATCAAAACTCGCAAGTCATTACTCGAGTTTTGAAGTTGCAAGTTTCACATCTCGAGATTTGAAAACTCGAAACTCTATACTCGAGATTACAATCTCGAGTTCTCTTCTCGAATTCTTAAAACTCGAGTTTAGCATTTCAACACTCAGGAACTCGAGGTTCTGCCTTAGAATTTTTTTCTGATCAAATCTCGAACGGTCAGTTTATAACAGCAATGGCAACAGACTCTTCAGCACTTGGTAACAGCAGCAATCCCCCAGTACTGAGAAATGGGGAATATCATATGTGGAAAACTCGATTTCTGAACTTTCTAGAGAATCGGGATAATTCTTCTGCACTGCTGGAATCCCTCACTCAAGGCCCTGCAGTACTGTGGATAACTATCCCGGGGAATGAGAACAATAATCCGCCAATTGAATAAGTCAGACGGATTAAAATACCCACTGAATACACATCAGAGGACAGAGAGAGATTGAAGGCAGATCTCACTGTCAAAACACACCTGCTACAGGCCATTCCAAATGATATCTACGTTATTATTGACAGTATGCAGACTGCGAAAGAAATGTGGGATGAAGTCGCAAAACTGCTGCAGGAAACTTCAATTGGACTAAAGACAAAAAGGCCACTACTCTGATGGCCTATGACTCTTTCAAAGCCTTACAAGGCGAATCACTCATTTCCACCCACAAAAGGTTCATGACACTGATCAATGAACTGAGAAAGATCAATATATTCAAATCCAACATGGAAATGAATATCAGATTCATGTCAAGCCTGAATCCTGAGTGGAGGAAAACTGTCAAAGATGTAAGAACAAGTCTAGACCTTGATGAAGTGGATCTCTGCACACTGCGAGACCATCTGAGAACCTTTGAGAACGATGCTGCAGAACTAGAAGGACAGTACTCAACTGATCCATTAGCACTTGTTATGGAAGCTCAGCCACAAAGGTCCACGAAGGTCTAGAAGAAGAAGAAAAAGGTTGTGATTGAGTCAGAAGAAGATGAAAGTGAAGATGAGATAGATTATAGCAAACTACATTTTGGGTACTCTATTTTTTTTAGTAATTCGTCGGAAGAACAACTCTGATCAAGATAGTTTGCTATTTTTTTAGTAGCAAACTACATTAACTCTAGTAGTTTGCTACAAGACTCTATTTTTTTTAGTACTCTATTTTGCTACATTTTGGGTACATTTCGGGAGAATAGCAATGATCGGAAGAACAACTATATTTTGGGTTCTGGAGATTCATTTACTTCTACAGATCAAATCATCATCCTATCCAAGTTAAATTATACACACACAGATGGTCATTGACTTTGGACAGGCTGAAAATCCGTTCAGTCAGTAAAGTACTTTATGAGGAACCCATCATTTCTCCTCAGTTCAGGAGCGCAGGTTCTAGAATTCAATTCATTAAATGGAAGAAACCGAGAGGAAGATTAAAACTAAACATTGATGCTAGTTACTTATCTTCAAAATCTACTGGTGGAGCGATACTTCGAGTTGCGAATGGAGAGCTGGTTTTGGCTTTCAGTTTTCCACTTCAAGCTTCTTCTCCCTTAGAGGCGGAACTGAAAGCTATCATATTTGGGGTGAATCTGACGGTGATTAGGAAAACAGACAGTGCCATAGCATTGCGGTACTTGGAAGATCAGGAGGTGCGAAGATGGAAAACATCTATTCAAGAAACCATGCTTCAGGTGATTAGGAAAGGGATAGTTTTGGGCCACTCGCTGCGGGAAGGGAACATGGTCGCTCACTGTCTAGCTGAGGCCCATTTGGGCCAATTGATTCTTTATAAAAGCCCATCATCTCTTCCTATTGGTGCTAAATAGACCTATTTTATGGATTACTTTGGTATTCCATCTCTCATATTTTAGCTATTTGATGTATTTTCCATGTCAGATCTAGTCCCCCAGGAAATTTTTCTTATGTTTTACTTTGTATTCTCATGTAATCCTTTAAGGGTATGCCCTTATTGGAGAGGTTTTGGCCTAGTCCCCCTTCCCATCGTGTACACTTGATTTTTCATTTATAAAATATGGCAAGCGTTCCACGGAGTTTGCCCAAGTGAAAAAAAGAAGAAGAAGAGAAGGTAAAGAAATGAGGAGGAGGAGGAGGAGGAGTTGAGGAGGAGATCAAAACTTACCTACGACAATCGATGTCACCTACCGGTGATCAGAGTTGAGGAGAAAATGTTACACCAAAGAGGGAGAAGGGAGAGGAAAGAGAATTTTGGGAAGATGGGTGCGATCAAGAGATTCCTGATAGGAAGAAAAGTAGTCTGAAAAAAGAAAATTAATTACAGCTAGCTAATAGGAGATATATAATTGGAAAAAGAAATGACATAGTTCATTAATAACTCCTATATAGGGAATAAATTAAATAAATGAATAGTACATCTTATATTTCAATTTCTTATATGTTTTACTCATAGTTAGGTCAATTATATTTTTCGTTAGTATATTATACCATGAAATGAATTGGTAGGTTTATATGGAGTACTAATTTAATCACATACACTTAAATGGTAGCCTAAATAGAACCCACATTTCGGTATGCATTTAAATAAATTATAAATATAAATGGGAAAAGGGTCAAATAAGTCATCGAACTAACCGAAAAAGTGCAAATCACCCCTTTTATAGGAGGCTCTGTCCGCGCGTCGCCATTTGAGGCGGTTCGCTGTGGGATTTTTTGATGAAATTTTTTGAGCATCTTCTTCATTAAGTTTAGTTTACCCATACCAAATTTCAGCTAAAAATTCAATCCAAATGTACTATAGGTAAGGTATCCTTACTTATTTGTAAGAAAATGAATCAATGATTATTACATGTGACAAAGTTTCCTGAGCTCGTGGGCAGCACCATCCATCTCCTCCCTTTGTTTCATCTTTAACCTAAAACTCATATCTCTAACTCTCATCTTCAAAGCCTCCCCACTCTCTCCTCCAAATGCCTTGTTCACAGCTTTAGCGATCTCCTCCCTCAGGAGCTTCCCATCCCCGCCCCTCTCAATCTCCACCGCCAGCCCCTTCTCAACCAAGAACCTAGCATTAACTGGCTGGTCGACATGCATGGGTAAGGCGATGATAGGGACCCCAAAATTCAAGCTTTCCATGATAGAGTTCCACCCGCAGTGTGTCAGAAACCCGCCCACACTCGGATGGGCGAGAATCCTCACCTGTGGGGCCCATCCTTCTACAATCCTCCCCCTCTCCCCTATTCTCTTCACAAAGCCATCTGGCAGTGAGTCTTGAGCACTAGACTTCTCACCTTTTGGGAATCTAAGCACCCAAATGAAGCTCATTCTGGTAAGGTCCATCACCAGCTCCAAACCATGGGCCATCTCCTCCATCTCCTCTTTCGTCAAGAAGCACTCACTCCCGAAAGAGATGTACAAGATCGAGCCTTGATCTTTCTTCCCAAGCCAATCTAGGATTTCCTCGGGGGACTCCTCGGCTTGGGGTTCTTGGGCCAAAAGCCCGACCGCCACGACCTTGCACCCGATCGTTCGGGAGTAGTACTCTATGTACTCTGGCTCCATTTCCATTGATGTGCTCATCAAAACCATTTGAGGCTCTGAGAGGCACTCCTCCGGCTCTCTACCGGTTCTGATGACGTTATCAACAACGGCTTGGAAAATTGCCTCTCCTCTGCCCTTCGGGCAAAGGGCAGGGTAGGGGTATGACTCCATCTGTGACTCTGATGAGGCGTTTCTTGTGACGAAGCTGATGTAAGAAGAGGTGGCTGCGCAAACATTATAGAACCGAACGGCCGGGATGTGGAGATCACGTGCCATCACTTCGGCCCAAATTTGGAGAAAGTCCAAAATGAGAAGGTCCGGCTTAAGGGTGTGCAAGATATTGGAGAAGTTGGCCTTCGACATCCGTAAGGCCTTCCGAAGGGTGGCGTGGAGGTGAGGCGGGAGGCCGTTGGTGGTGTGGTAGTGGGGAGGGAGGTCCGGGAGATGCGGGAGGTGGAGCTCCACCGGCAGGATGGAACCGGAATATATCTCCGGGATCATTTTCTTGACGGAGACAAGGAGAATAGGGGTGGAACATAGGTAGATTAAGAAACCTCGGTCGGAGAGATTCTTGGCGAGCCCAAGGTATGGAGTGATATGGCCGTGAGCCAAAAATGGGAACATCAAAACGGACGGCCTTCTAGCTGCATCACCCATGGCCGCGCCCTAAACAAAGTAGCAGGCCGTGTTGAATTTTGTTATGCGAGGATGAGGAAGTTGTGTAATTTAAAGTGGGGTTTATGTATGGGTGAGAATTCAGATACTCATTTAAAAAATAGATACCTACATATCATTCACTTGATTAGTTTCTATACTACTTCCGTTATCTTTTAATTGCAACATTGAATTTTTTACATTTTTCACATATTCTGGTTTGATTATATTTTATTAGTTAATGTATTATAAATTATATTTTTAAAAAATACTGTTAATTTTTTCTCATTCTAAATTTTCAAAATATGAATTTTTTAAACTTTTTACTAATAGGAAATGCAAGTTATTAATGGTCCAACTTGTGAATTGGCAAACGCGAAATGGTGACTGTTGCAATTAAAAGAGAACGGGGAAGTATATCATTTTTAATTTAGACTTAAATAATTCAACTGCAACATTCTGATTGGTCCTTGTGGACAAAAGTAAGGTACCTTATGGATACCATAGAATCTACTTTATGTTACTCCCTTCGTCCCGAAATAATTGTCCTGCTTTCCTTTTCGATCCGTCCCGAAATAATTGTGTTCTTTCCTTATTTGGTAAACAAATCTATACAAAACAGTGTGAAACAGTGCAAAACAGTGTCAAACAGTGTCGCTACAGTGCCAAACGGTGTCGCTACACTGTGAAGACAACTTCACTTTCTTAATCTGTGTGAAGGTCAAACCAGGACGATTATTTCGGGACGGAGGTAGTAATTATTACTGTATTTATAATTACATGGATATGATTTTTTTATGAGTAGGTTTATTTTTTTTTTTTTGAATGAAATGAGTAGGTTTACTTCTGTGTACGTACAGCATTTTCTTTTAAAGGGAAATATTGTACTGCTTTTTCTTAAAAGATATACGCGGTATATATAGTAGTTTTAGTACTTTTTTAAAGAATACACTTCCTCTATTGGATGGTTTTTGTACATTACCTAACGTAGTACTCGGTAGTTGTTCACTTACTTCCTTTTCTATAAAAGGGAAAACATCATAGATAAATATATGTAGTACCACGGATTTGAGTATCAAATAATGTACTCCCTCCGTCCTAATTTGATTTGCAAAATTTCCTATTTTGGTTGTCCCAAAATGGTTTTCCACTTTCTATTTTAGGTATGTAAATATGAATAAAGTTACAAATTTACCTTTACTTTTACTTTTTCCTTATTAACTTAAAAGCATCTACTTTTAGAAAGATGAGCAAAAGTGTAAAAAACAAGAATCATTTATTGTCATTCCTTAATCCTTGTGCCGATCAAAGTTTGCAATTCAATTCGGGACGGAGGAAGTAATATACAGTGTATATAAAATGTGAAATTTTCCTACATAAAAGTACAAACATTATGAGATTTTAAAATATGAGTACTGTGATTTAATGCGAGCTGAGTAACAGTAACTTATTGTCGTCCTAAAATTATACATTTATTAATCGGTATTTTTATATATTAATATGAAGTTATTGATATCATAATTGATATAATCAAAGTACGACAGTAACGACTCTTATCTAACGAAAAGTGTAATACATGCCTTCATTTTGGAGTTAAACATTGTTCTACACCTGTTTAGGTTAATTTCGTTTTCAAAAATGCTATTAATTTTTAGGTAGATTCTATGGTACCCATAAGGTACCGTACATTTGTCCACATGTACCAATGAGAATGTTGCAGTTGAATTATTTAAATCTAAATTAAAAATGATATAATGTTGTAGACCAATCAAGTGAATGATATGTACGATACCCCATTTTTTAAATGAGTATCCGAGTTGTCACCTTAATTTTATTCTGAAAGAATTCCATTTTTGGTAGTAGAAATTATACAAACCACGTGTAACGTAGGTTCATGTATTTTTTTCCTCACATACCTTATTTTTTTCTTGTTCATCTCGTTATCCTCCTACTGAAATTTTGAATGAGTCTCCAAACAGGAGTAAAATATGGACTAAATGCTCGATAGGTTGTTACTCGTTAATCACGTATTCTCAAAATTCCTTGCAAGAACGTAGGCCTGTGGGCCCTGTGGCAATGGGGAGGCTGAGCCTATAATCTCTAATAAACTTTTTTATTTCAATTGAAGTACTAATTACTCAGATAAACATTTGTGGAGAAAAATGTCACTAGCTTTGATATGGGTACACTTTTATAGTCACTTTGATATAAAATAAAACATAATTATAATTTCCAAAATTTATGAAGCTTTTAGCTTTTGGGATTAAGACTTGGATGTTGTTGTTGTTGTTGTTGTTGTTGTTGTACATGTATAGTGTTTTTAGATATAAAAGAAATGGATTAACAATTGAGCGTATGAATTTCGTCTCTCATATGTGGTGTTTTTAGGTACTACGTGTAAGATAAGCTACTATGTAGTAACAATTTAGAGAAATAAACATATGTAGACAAGCTACTAATAAAAGAAGGGGCGCAAGGATGAGTCATTAGTGGGTTGTCTACAGCTGCGGTTGTGGTGGTGAAGTGATTTGGGATACCAATGGAGAAAATTAAACGATCAGAATTGGGGTACACAAAGCTACACACTCTTACACACTCATGTCTGTGAGGTTTTTTTTATGTCTGTCCCAAACAAAACGTATTTGACAATGATTGGTGGAGAGTGACTGAGTGAGTAGGGGTGGACGCGGTCCGGAACGGTCCGGTAAATTGGTAAATCCCGTAATGTATTTGTGAGGTTTTTAACGGTCCGGTACGGTACGGTTCCAAGGATAGAACTGTTCGTTACCATGTCGTTTCGGAACGGTATAAAACGGTACGGTACAATGCCAAACACATGCTAAATACAAGAAATGACATACGTAGTACTAAAATTCACAAGTACACAAATAGTGCAACACAACTAAGAAAAAATATAGCAAAATGATGACGCACGAGATAAATATCATCTTTAATTTACTAAGTTCATGTGAAAATATAAAAACGAATATCATCAAATTGTTGAATATAATAGAAATATTCAACATTCATCTTCTTCTTCTTCGTTCTAGGTTAAATATTACTCCGTAGTTCTAATTTAATTTATAGTTGAACCTTGAGAGCTAAGATTTAAACCATATTAATTAAGTTGTAAAAATTGCACAAATATGATTCAACAAAAAGTCATGTACAATACATTACTAGAAATGAATAGTCATTAATGATTTCTAAAATTTTAATATTCTTTCAATACATACCAAAATATAACATAAATTATCTAAAAAGAAAAAATAACAATATATATATAAACACACACATTTATATATCTTAGGGACACATGAATACATATTTGGGCTATAAAATTGTTGGTCTATAAAAGAGATCTATTGGTATAGAAAAAATATAAAAAATTCAAATGCATTTTTTTCGAACGGTTCGATCCGGTATTTTTCTGTTCTAAAAATCTAGGACCGGTCTCATACCCGTTTCAAACGGTACAGTTTCAGTACGGGATAAAAATCTATAGAACCGCTTAAATACCCGTTATTCGGTTCGGTACCATTACGGGACGATTCGGTATCGGTTCGGTTCGGGTTTTATGCCCACCCCTATGAGTGAGTACACACACATTCCATTTAATTTAATGTCTTTAAGCCAATGATATAATAAGTATATCATTGTTTTTATAATTAATTAGCAGCTAATTAAAGAGCATATATATATATATATGACACATTTAATTACTAGGCTAAAGGGTCAAATAGGTCCTTGTACTCATATCAATAGTTCAATTGGGTACCCGAACTAAAAAAAGGTCCAATCCAATCCTCCAACTCTTCAAAATCGTTCAATTTTTTCGTTTTTCAAAGGCTAAAGGGTCAAATAGGTCCCTGTACTCATATCAATAGCTCAATTGAGTACCGGGAGTTTACCGGCTAAAGGGTCAAATTGAACGATTTGGAAGAGTTGTAGGATTGGATTGGACCTTTTTTTAGTTCGAATACCCAATTGAGCTATTGATATGAGTACAGGGACCTATTTGACCCTTTAGCCTAATTACTATTTTGGAACATCCAAAACCAGAGGTATGTTTGTTTTATTTGAGCAACGTAACATTCAAGCAAAAATACATATTTTAAAACTTAGTACAGTTCATAATTATATATTGTACTTGGGCTAGCTAAAATGTTTTTTATTTGGCTATATTGTTCCACCAAAAAACTACCTGCTTGCCACATGCTCTAGCTAATCGGTAATGTTCAACTCCATTTTGAGGTTACTACTTACTCACTCCAAAATAATATAAACAACTTAAATTTAGGAACAATGGTACCTGTAGTAAGTACTCACAAATGGACCAAGTTCATTACTTCTTTTCTAAAATGGTACTCCTTATTTTTTGTGCATAACTCTAAAGCATCCTGGTCCACCAGACCTGGAGGACTCATCAAACAGATACCATAATGAACCCACTAATTTTATCACTATTTAATCAGGACTGATTAACATGAAGCGTTACTTTCAAGTGGTTCAACTTTTACCTTTTTCCATTGTTTGTCTAAAGTTAAAAACCTATTAGCAAAAGCAAGAAATTCCAGAAAGAAATGATAAGAAAATGATAATAAAAGCATAAAGAGAGGTCAGAGGCAATACCGGCCATAGTGGGTGAGTAAATGTTTTAAGGTTTAATTCTATATTTATGGAAATTTGACATGGAAATTAATGGTACGTACGTTCATAAGATTTAATGTTGGCTGTTAATCTGTTATGACGTTTATGTATTAATTCGACAATTAATTCATTTGAGCTATCCATAGTCTTTATGATGGGTCTCAACCCGCCACAACGAACGAAAGCCTCGAAGAGCATTAATTACTTCTCCTATAAATCGGAGATTGTCTCATTATATAGTATTTGGACAACCTACACCAAATATTTCTCCCGAAATGATCCCCTATACAGCTATATATAATTAAAACAATCATAAAAAAGCAACGTAAAATAAGGGATATGTGGGTGACCGTGTCAAACGTCACTACAATAGACAACGAAAGTGGCAAGGATTTGTCAAAATTCATAGGTGATGGTACCATCAACCATGTACCGCAACCATGTACCTCGAGCTTGGGCGGAGTTCTAGCAAAGTCGGACTCTTCCTAGGGCTTATGTGGCAGACTATCATTTGAGCATATCTCTCTGGCAACGGCATGACATAATAAAAGAAACATGAACATGAGGGAAACAATGATTGCACAACGTTCGAGACGTTACACGACTCTTTTATAATTAACTGCATTAAATGTATCAGTTTCCTCCTAGAATACTAGAACTAAGGTCTATAAATACTTCTTGTACACATCCTACCAAGGATCCAAATTCCGAAATAATAATACTGCCTTATGTTGCCTAACTTTCATATGCTCTCGCAAATTAGCTCTCGTAGTTTTGAATTAAACTACATCATTTGGTGCTGTCGTTGAGAGAACTATTTATGACGATGATGGTTGGATCACACAGTCACAACCTTGTTGGCAGCAATCAAGGTGGTGCTTGAATGGATCAGGTCGTGATTGAGGACGAATGGTCGTGCTCACGACGGAGCGATTTATGGAGGAGAAACGACAACGTGGTGATTCAAGGAAATTTAAGGAATCGCCTACAAGGTGCTGGGAGCTCTAGGCGTCCTGCAACACGCCCACCACAGTTCCATACACTGGCAACCGGAAATCTCATCCCGAGTGTGGATCCGGCAAAAGCCTTGGCATGTTTGGCAACGTTCTAGAGAGCTGTGGAAATCTTGACCACTGTTTTTCAAGGAATTGTTCCCAACGCAAACGAAAGACCTCCTTCCCTGCGCCCGGTTCCATCTGTGCCCCAACAGGAGGAGGAGATATTTGTGCAGCGTCAGAGGAATTCACCTCCGGCTAGGTCTCAGCGGTCCCATCATTCCGAGCAGACCCCGAGGGCTTCAGTGATGGACCGGATTGGAGGACAAAGAATATTTGTGCATGACAGGCTCTCCTTCAGGGTGGAGCGAAGTGATGAAGCGTCTTCCGTGGCCGTTCCGTCCCACCATCACAATGCGTGTGGGGGAGATCTCAGAGACGAGATCAACGAACATCGGCAAGCCTGCGGAGATCGCGTTTCCCCACCTCGTGTCCAGGCCGATCAGGATAATAACGACCTCAGAAGGCGACTTGACGAGCTCAGAAGGGCGGTGGATGGCCGGATTAACTTCAATCATAATGTGAGGATTCCTGAGCCATTCACCCGTCAGATCATGGATGCCCTACTACCGCGGGGGTATAAGCCTTGTAACATTGAGGTCTACAGAGGAAAGACTTGTCCCCAACACCATGTTTCTAGGTACATGACTTACATGGTGATGATGGAGTACAACGATGTGATCAGATGCAGATGATTCTCAGTGACACTGGACGGGCCAGTGCAGGAATGGTACAGATCAAGTGATCTTTAGTCTAATACAGAATAGTGGAGGTGACATCATCAAAATCTTAACCATCAAATTGTAGGGGACCTAACAAAAGGAATATTTAGATCAGACTTATTAATTCTATTTTCAAGAAACCCATACTTGTTTGATTTGTGGAACATGTTTTGAATTGTTCCGGACAGGTGAGTGGTTATTTTTAATATTTGTGAAAATACTATGGCACATCCTTGTAGGTGAGATGGAGTCAACACCAAGATCATAGACAGACCATTCTAATATGGTGGCTCGGGTGAAGGGCAACAACTCAAAAGATACTTTAAGACCGTTTATGCCAGGCATCATTCTATGGCACATTTGGAAAATTTATAACGCAAGTATATTGGATGAAGAAAAGTTATCAATAACATATACAATCAAATCCATCAAGGAATACACCAGAAAGTGGGTTTACACCGATCAAAAGAAAAAAAGTTTCCAATTTGATGAAGAACTACACTATTGACACTGTTGCAATTGATGCACAAGTGGGGCAATAAATACAACACACTGAAATGGAAAAGAGTTGGGAATCGAGACATTATGCTCAACACAACGCTGCCTTCCTCGGTCAGCGTGGAGCGATCATGAGAACTCCAGATGCAGTTGGCAGATCCAGAACTTTTCTGAAGCGTGGGTACTCCCGCATAGATGGAAATGGGTTAGGTCGGGTCAAATCAGGTGTATCATTAGTCTTTTTTGTCAAGTGCGTTTAGATTTTTTATTTTTAACTGGAAATAGATTATTCAATTATGGCAACATATGTGGATTATAAGTCTAATTTTGAACTTTTTAAGACAATTCTAAACAATATATATATGGCTTTTTGAAAGAAAGATATAATTTGGATCAGAAATGATTCATCTTTGCACCATTTCTGGTTTTACATTAGAATTCTCGTTACTTTTCATACTATAAAACGATCAAGATTTCATATCTAAACTACAATCATGTCGAATGTTACACATCGTGCCACAAAATTTGTTCGTACTTGTCTGGAATATAATACTATCATGTTAAAACTGAAGTATAGATCATGTTCATGATTTTATTCTTTAATACAACTTTATTTAATAATATGATTCTATATATCTAACATTCATCATATTATAGATAAAAAAATTCAACGAGTCTGTTGGTTTGAAACTAATTTATCGCGAATTGACACATTTTTTCATGTATGGACTTCTATTCAAGATAAAAGTTTTGCATCTATTAAGCTCATCCTACATATTAGAACACTTGTCACTTTTCAAATAAAGTGTAGTAATCAATGTCTAACTATAAGGATTTTCTTCATCACAACTTCGTGGTTGTTTATAATTTATACTACTATATCTTACTACAATTGTTATGTCTTCGATGGAGTGTTATATAGTTTAGAGTTTTTTTTGAAATAATGACAATATGATTGAAATAGAGATAGTGGACAACAATAAGACTTAGTAACTACAATCAGTGGTGTATCCAGAAAAATACGCCAGTGGGGGCGAATTTACCTTAGATTAAGGGGGGGGGGGGGAATACCAGAAATATCAGACTAATGAAATTAAAAAAAATTGTAAAATCAATTATAAATAACAAAATATTCTATGGGCAAAAACATTATGATATCCTGTTTAATGAAATTTCACTTTGTTAGAAATAATTTTATCACATGACATCTTTAATTTGTGCAAAATTATGTCAATATGTAAATGAATAAACTAAGAAAAGGATCAAGCATGTAGTTAGAATTAGTGTAAATTTAAAACAAAAATGCATGTATAACTTTAAATTGGAAATATATATGTAAGGGTTGGGTGGGGGTCGAGTGGGGGCAGCTTCCCCCCCCCCCCCCCCCACCCTTGATACGCCCCTGACGACAATGGTAATTTAGTGATAATGATTATGTTCAATCTATGAATATGGTGACTATGCATAGTAACTATAGTAATATTTATGTCCATTAGTTCTACTTCAGTAATATTTATGAAATAATCTTTAGTTTTTTGACCGCTTAGCGGGGACACAATTTTTATCTTTAAGTACTAATCTTAAACTTCGGGATCAGAAGCGGGGCACTTGCCCCCCCCCCCCCTCCTCCTTAGGTCCTCCACTGACTATAGTAATATTTATAACCGTCTCTCTCAAGAATGTGTTGAAAGCCTAATGGTTGGACCGATATTCCCCTTTGGATTTATTATATTTCTCACCCGTTAGGCCTAGGACCTATTCGGGGGAAAGGACATTAATATTACTATTAGAAAACCCATTTCCACAAAAGTGAGTAAGAATTATATACCCGCACAGGTAGCTCAGTTGGTCGAGTGGTGAGAGATTTGGATCAATGGACCAATGTTCGAATCCCCGCAGCGACCGGGTGGAGGTCATAGAACCTGAAATAAGGTTGGGCTTCTGGTGCGCACGGGTGTATGGGTCTACTGCCATTCTGCTGACTGAGTCACCGTGACTAACCTCCCCACCATCCTGTCGGGTCGGAGTGGGGGCTCCTGGGGTGGGAGATTCCACCTTTTGTTGGATCAATGAGTAATAATTATATAAAATGACAAAAAAGAGACGTAGCGGGTCATAAAATTGGAAACACTCCAAGGCACCTAACTTGAGCACGGCATCTCGACAACTACCTTCGAATGATGAACTATATGAATTCGAGTGCACCCCAGATGCTTAACAAGTAACCACACACCCTATACAATCGGAGCATCTCGGCGCACCATCAAACTTACTACGCACACCCCATTTTTTCAATTACTGGACAGACTTACCCTCACATAGCCGCATTAACTGCTAGGCGCACCCTCAGTTAAATTAATGAGTAAAGCAAAGGTCCTTTTGGTGTGAGACGTCTCCAACTTTGTGACACCGTGTCTCTTTAAAATAAAAATGGTGCAAGTTAAATTACGTAGCCGCATCTGACACCATACTTCTTTAAAATAAAATATGTGATACCCGATCGGGTATATGCCTCAGGCCTCTAAAAATCTGTTTTTTTATAACTTGAAAAGTGCAAAACTAAATAAAACAAGTAAACGTACCTTGCATGAGTTGTCTCCCAAGAAGTGCCTTGTTTAACGTCGTGGCACGACGCCATCATTGTGTTCAATCGTTCAAGCTTGGATCATGATAATTAATCTTCTTCAAATTTTCATTTCTAGGACTTTCATAGAAATGCTCAATTTTTTGACCCTTCTTTTTGAAAATGTTTCCAGGATCAAATATCCAGATTTCCATTGATTCATGTGGTGAGAGTGAGGGAAAGAAATTATCGATTAACATGATCAATGGAAAATGTTTTGATCTCTCAATTTTGGCGAAGATTTCAAAAATGTCTTTATCCTTTTCAATTTTATGAGTTTCCCTCAAAGTTTTTAGATCTATTGGGGGTACCTCAAAGAATGATAAGGATAGATATTTGACCTTGAAACACAGTTCATCCTCTTCTTTGACCAGCTCGAGCTCCTTGTCTCTTTCTTCTTCTACTTCTTTTGGATTTTGGATCTCTTTTTTCATTTTCTTCTCATTTGTCAATGTGATTGCAAAAGTTTGCTGTTTAGGATCACATTCTATTTGAGAGGGAAGGTTTCCCGAATCCCTTGCTTAAAGCCTACTCACGGCTACGGCTATTTGACTCATTTGAGTTTCCAAGTTTAAAATGCTAGACTTGGTCTCATTTTGGAACTGCACCAGGTTGTTTTGCATGGTGGTCATGTTGGTAGCCATAGCCCGAACCATGTCCTCCGTAGACATCTTAGAGTTGGAGAATGGATCATACCTCATGTGAGGTACATATTCAATTTGTGCAAGATATTCTTCTTGGAGCTTTGGGCAAAAATCCGTAATATGCCTGTGAGACATGCAAATATTGCAGGTCTTGGCATCTTGTGTTTCTGAGCTTAAGATAAACTCCTTTATGAGAGATGCCAAAATGGAAATTTGACTCTCTAAGGATGATATGTTGATATCCATATACTCATGTAACCTCAGAAAATAGAAAAGTAATTTTTTTATATTTTTTTAATTTTTTTTAAATAAAATAAAAAGAAAAATAATTCTCTTTCCCCGACAACGGTGCCAAATTTGACGTGCACTTTGTCGCGGTGTGCACTCAAAATAAATACAATACAACAAATTTACGTAGTCTATTGAAGTAAGGTTCGTATCTATAGGGAAAGGGATACTTTTCTTTTTAATTAAACTCTAGTAACAAGGGGGGTTTTAGATTTGATTTGATTTGATTTAATTAACACTAAGATGAACGACTTATGTGGTTTACTTTAATAGAGATGAAGACTTGGTTTTGCTTTTATCTACTTAATGAAATGTTCGTCGATCCCAGTTATATCTTTAACTATCTTCCTCTCGAATACTCAACCGAGGAGTATATCCAATTCATCGAGGGTAGTTATTAATAACGAGACACATTCATTAATAAAACTTACTACCGAGTCAATATAGAACACGTGCCGTATATTAACCCGATAGTAGCAATAAACTTAAGATGAAAATGATTGAGATTGATAACCTCAACACAAGCGATTTATTGGTTTAATCAAAATAATTAATTCCCCTTAGATTATTAACCATGAGATGCATGCATTAATAATCCAAGTTTACTACCGTTGAACGAACCGAATTAATAACAAGCATATTAATCGATTGATTCTAGTAATAATAATATATGAAACAAAACTAGTTGATCCTTTAAGTAATGCTCAAAATATTAATGTGAAATGTGAATAGGAATTAATTAATATTCAAGGAAGAATATTATTAAAGAAGATGAATCCTACTATAATTAATATCAAGATGTTAACTAATTGTCATCTTAGCAACACTCCCCAACATTAATATAGAGGAAGAAAATATAGAGATAGTAATGTCAAGTTTAACCAATGTCATCTTAGCAACACTCTCCAACATTAATTAATTGTCAAGATGAATCCTACTATAATTAATATCAAGATGTTAACCAATGTCAAGATGTTAACTAATTGTCATCTTAGCAACACTCCCCAACATTAATATAGAGATAGTATTAAGGAAAGAATTAATAATTAATATTCAAGGAAGAAGATTAAAGAAAATAACTCACAACTTACAATTCATTAAGCTTCAAAGTAGCAAAACCAAGATGGAAGAGATTAGCTCCTCATTTGGAGACTAAATGTGCTAGAAAAATATAAAGAAAATATATGGAAGAAGGGATGATTATTTGTGAAGAAAAAGCGTGCTATTTATAGGTGTTTTTCAACACCTTGGGCCGGGTACCCGACCGGGTCAAGTGCCCTCCCGACCGGGTGCATGTCAAAATAAGATAATCTTCCACGTTCTTGTGTATCAGCACGTTAAAATGTCCCGGGTCAAGTCAGACCCGACCGGGTAGCATAGGGGACTCGACCGGGTCTGGAAATTTCCTGAGCTTCTTGGTTTGTTAAATCTTACCCGACCGGGTCAAGTGTTATACCCGGTCGGGTTTCAGCTCCTGGACAGTCCAATCACTTCAAAGTCCCCCTTTCCAGCACCATACTTCCTAATTCTACTTTACAACTTACAAATGAAGGTTAAAATACAATTACAACTAAAATCACATAAATGTTTACAAACTAAATAAAACGGTAAACAATCCACACAAATCAAACATAAAAACAAACATTTATGCACTACTAATTAGTGCATATCAAGCCGTCGGCCCAGTCCGAGAGTTACTCAGATATTGAGTCTTCGAGTGAGCAGTCTCCGACGCATAATGATTCTGCTGTGGCCGAGAGGGTTCAAGACAATCTCAGGACTGAAGTGGAAGCTGAGGAGTTCGAACAAGTGGTAGAGGATGAAG